CCATTCTTCTGATTTAGCGGTTACGGTTGTTCCTATTATTGCTGGAATTACTTTGACCTTTCCTTTCTATATCTTCTCTAGTTCCTCTCTCAGCTCTCGGTATTTGCAAATACATATATATATATAATTTTTATTATTTATATATGTTTTCATAATTTTTATGTATGCATATTATATACACAAAAAAATTTAGATCCCCGAATGAAATTATATTTTTCATTAACCTATTGATTTAACTGAAGGATATCACAAGGAATATTACTTATCTACTTTTTTTACTGTTTACTGCAACCAATTCGTCTCCACTCTACATAAATTTTTATACAAATACTAAAATATAAAAATGGTATATAATATATAGTATTGTAGTATTATATATAGTATTATATTATATATATAGTATTATAAAAATAATAATTAAAACAAGAGCAACAAGAATAGAAAAAACCATTTATACATTCCTTTTTCATAATATTTTCTTCTTTCAAATCGACATGAAATACCTTACGAACTTTATTATTTACATTTGGTCGATTTTTAAATCCAATTATTAAGTAATCCAGAAAGAGATTTGGCAGGAAATTTCTAAGCCTTAATTCTCGGCGGCAAACGTTAATTGCATATTGGTAAAATTGGAGGAAGAAAATTGTCTATCAGCACTTTCGTTAAAGTTTACAAAATTAATGAAATTAAATTAATTCAACAAAGAGCCATAACTGATAAAATCCAAAAATAAAATTTCAACAGAGACCCATAAATAAAATTTTGTATGAATTTCGAAATTCATGTTTGGCACAATATTTAAATTAGCGTTTGTATTTGCTTTTTTAATAAAATATAAAAAACTCAAAATTTTCAAAAGTATCCTTTTGATTAAAAATAATTTATTATGCAATAAACAATAAAATGATTATATTTTTATTTATTTATTTTTCTATTTCAAATTTTTCAACAGAGAATTCGAACACTGCCTTAGGCATTAATGTTTTTAATAAAACGTTCATTTCTATTGTCACCAACGCTTTTCATTCATAAATATAAAAATGTATATAAGTGTGTGCACATAAAATTTTACAAAATACCACTAACTTAATATATTTGAAAGTCACTAAAGTCAAATAATAAAACTGTCGCTGTTTTGTCGTTTTCTATTGTCGCTATTTTGTCGCTATTTAAGTGAGGTTGGATTGATGATGTTTTGATCGTTTCTTCAATAGTGTTACTTCACTGAACACACCATATTGGCTTAATTAGCCTTTACCAGCGTGATATTGGTAAAATAAATTTTCGATTTTCAGTTCTTCGGCTATTCAAGTTTAAAAAATTATTTTGAGAATAATTGAGAATAATAATACAAAAGAATTGATCCCTCTGGAATTTTGCTAAAATTCCAAATTTTAGAATTTTACGAGAGGTACTCCATCGTGTATTATCGAACCGCATTGTGGGTTGACAAATCTGCGGCTACACTTCTTCAATTTTTGTTTCGATTTAATGACCACTTTCCCTTTTGCGGAAAGCCAAACAATGCGTAGTGATCGCCGATCGAACCTAACATCACAACAACTAAAGCCAACAATCCCCACGCATAACCAAACACGCATATCCTGGAAATCGCATATTGGCTTAATTAGCCTCTACCAGTATGATATTGGTAATATCATACTGGTACGGCAATATTAACGATTGCTTTAGACCGAAGGGAGCTTGGAAATGTTTTGTCTTTTTGTACCCAGCGGAGCCAATCCAACCAGTCAGTAATGGTGAGAACTGTTATAAGAAAAAGGGAGAACTGTACCTTTAACAGTATCTGAACTGAACGTAGAATTTCTTTTACAGTGAAATTTTAAACGAATAAATTCCCACAATTTTAAAAATTTTAACAATTTTTGCAGGACGATTTGTAATGGCCATCTTCACCTTTCTTGATTTGGAGAGTTTCTATTATTGCCAGAAAGTCGCATGGTTACCACGCTGAAGGACAACGCAAGTCATGCATTATAAGCAGATAGATTAAAAAGAATTTCTGGAAGCATTTGCACCAGAAGTTTTTTTTTTCTAAGCATGGTGATCAATTAGCGTGTTACTAAATACACGAATGTCGAGTTGTATGGCCCCTCGCACCTGCATCGAATAAAAACCTGACTATAGCCGCAATAATCCTATCATCAAAAAAAATTGCATCAGCGCTTGCAGTCATCGATATATACTTCTATCGCCAAGTGGCAATTCCATTATTTGAAAATTCGATTAATCCAATTTTTTTTTAAATTTTAAAATTATTGAAATTATTTTTCATAACGTAACAAAAATATTCTCTAAATTTATAAAATTTATAAAAAAAAGTTTCTGAGAAAATTTAGGTATTTAATTACTAATTAATAATAATTAATTAAAACAAAAAATCACAGTTGTTTTCGATGAGTTTTTTATTCATTCGTTGATGAACGCAAAGCCTGAACTCTGCCTTAGGCAATAATATTATTATTGTCCACTAATGCTAATAAAGCCATATTAATACAATATTCTTTCTCAGCATAGTGAAATATTTGTTTTAGTGTAGCAAAATCAAATGAAATCCGATGAAATCCAATTTTTAGCTTTGATCCTTCTTCGAGAAAAACTGGCGACTAAACACACGTAAAGTGAGTTCGCCTGCGGCTAAAAACAAATCCCAGTGTCAATTTGCATTTAATTTATATTATTATTCTCAAAAATAATCTCTTTTAAAATTGAATAGTCGAAGAAGTGAAAATCGAAAAACTTATTTAACCAATATCACACTGGTAAAGACTAATTAAGCCAATATGGTGTGTTCAGTGAAGTAACACTATTGAAGAAACGATTAAAGCATCATCAATCCAACTTCACTAAAATAGCGACAAAATAGCGATAATAGAAAATATAAAACGACAAAACAGCGACAGTTTTATTAGTTGACTTTAGTGCCTTTCAAATATATCAGTTAGTGGTATTTTGCAAAATTTTATGTGCACACACTTATATACAAATGAAAAGCATTGGTGATAATAGAATTGAATGCTTTATTAAAAATATTAATGCCTAAGGCAGTGTTCAATTAATATTAATCACTGAATTAATCTAATTAATTATTTTTCCAATATTTTTCAATCATTTTGTTTTAAATTTTTTTTATTTCTTCAGGTCAAATAATTGTTAGAAAAATGGAAAATATTTAACAATTAAGGATTATATATCCATTCAATTACCCACACACCCACAACTGTTGACTTAAGCTCCGTTAACAGGTGTAAGCAAAAAAAATTACTATAAGCTCGCACCATGAAATTTAAATGTGTTTACCAATAATTAATTAACACTTCTAATATTTTGCTTATTTCCATTTCTCGAAGGCGTATTTAAACGCTTTTAACCAAAAAGTTAAAGGCAAAATGACGTTATATATTTTATTTGCGGAAAATTTGTCTTGAAAATTATTATTTTCATGCACGATTCGCATCGCCCGTTTAGGCACTTCGAACTTTAATATGCGAGAAAATTTTTGCTAGGAATTCAATTTGGATTTACAGAACTATAGCTGGGCCATCAACATCTTCCTCGCCTTGTTTTTTAATGGCAATTTTATTGCCTCTGGAGCGGCGATGTAAGAGCCGAGCTCCTCCTGATGTTCTAAAAGGCGATTATCTAAGCTTGCTTAGAACCACTCCACTAGCCAACCTCTTCTAACAGCACGTGACACTTCTTATTAATTTAATTCGAGTGGTTTATATGCTTAAATATTTCTAGGAATTTATTGCCATTCAATTTTTTTTTTGGCATTTTTTGAAATATTTGAAATTAAATCGAATTGCTTTAAATTGGAATATTTTTACTTTTACATACTTTTTTAAATACGAATTATACGGAGATATTTGTTCATAAATGAAATTCTCCTTAATTCCACTTTGCCATTTTTGGAATGTTGTCAATGCATTGTCGACTATATTGCTGAATTTGAATCAGATATGGCTTTGAGTTCTTCCGCAATACAGGGATTTTTGATTTTTGGTGTTTACTTCTGTCAAAGATAAAAATTAGGGGAGAAAAACAAAATCAAGTAAAAACCTTTATCTTAAAAATTGAATTTTATATAATTAATATAATTAAAAAATTGAGAAACTTACTTATTATTTTCACTTTAGTTTTGTTGTTTCTGTTTTCATTTTTTCATTATTAAATTTTATCTATGCATGTGAATATTTATTTTTTATTCTTTGTTTTTATGTTTAAAAAAGAACTTATTGTTTGCTTGAAAATGTTCTACCAGAAATAACATAAAAAACAACTAAGCGGATCAAAATTTTTTTACGTTATTCCTTCTATATTCTTCACTCTTTCAACGAAAAAATTTTTTTTTAATCGCATCTTTTACCCATATTAATCGTAATGTTGTTAGTTTTTAATTTTAAATATATACAATAAATTGGCCAAATTTGACTGTTTTTGAAAAATAGCAGTAATATCTGCAGGTATCTATCATAGCATATGAAGCTTGAAATATATTACCGATATCAAAAAATACCCGTTTTCACATCTTAACATCACACAACAAAATTATCATGATAAAAAAAATTATCATCGCCAAAGACGACAAATAAGTTTTAAGGAAAAAAGAAAATTAAAAAGAAAAAATTTAATTTAGCCACTGTAGATTTTGAAAAATCAGTCAATCACTTTCAATTATATATTAAAACAATAAAAAATAAAAAAAAGACCCGTTGAAAAAAATCACCTATTTTTCAAAAGATCCATTAAATAAAGAAATGCAGATAAAGCTTGAAAAAGATTTTCAAACTGAAAAAAAGCCTAAAGATAAAAATGGTAATGATTAGCTAATCGAAAAAGAATGAATAAAAAAAAGGAAAATTCGAAATGTTCATTTTTTTTAATATTTTATGAAAATTCTTAATACTTAATTCTTCTTAATTCTTAATAATTCTTGTTCGCAGATATTTTTAATATTCATATTTTACAATTCATTAACAATTTAAGAATGACCGCATCATATCAATAAATATCTCCAACGTTCCTTCTGTTTCAGCAATATGTTTTAAGAAGTGAAAAATGCTATCCTTCGAAAAATGATTAACGCTGAAATATGAAAAATTGTTTAAAAAATATCATTATATAATTTCTACTGTTCAAAATCTATTTTAAAATGAATCCGCTAATTTTTTTGAAGAAGCAATTCGTTCAACGATTCCTCATTGGATGGTTTTTGGTTTCTGGTGTCAACCAAAAAAAATTATCGTAACAATTGAGAATTACAAGGAAGCACATAGCCAACACAAATTTGAAAGAAAAATTCTGCATGAGAATGATGCACTGATAAATATAATTGTAAGTTGTGAGTGTAAAAGATGTTTTGAGAAAAAAGTTACCTTAGCACTTCGGTAACGATTAAATTATGCAAAGTATTTTTAGTATCCAAATGTGTACAACTCGTGACCTCAAAAAAATCTAATAATGTGGAAGGGCAAATGAAACGCTGACAAGGACCATCATTATCGAATAAAAGATCGGCAAGTGCTTGACATAAATACTTATCTGCCAACTAAAAAAAGTGTTTTAAGAAAAATTTCTCAATTTTGAAGCTCTTCACTTATTCTCGATAAAAAATTGAAAAGTTATACGGAATGACGGAAAAATTAAAAAACCTTAAGTCAAGGTTAAACATAAAGTAAAAAAGATAATAAATGCTCAATGTTTGACTAGTAAAAAACTAAAATAAATGACTGTAAGGAAAAAATTTTTTGAGAACTAATTAAATCAAAAAATTTACTCGTATCATAACGGCGACAGATGAAGCATCGTTCAAACGAAAACATTTCTCAGTTCTACAGCCACAAACAAAATGGATAAATTGCATAAATTGTTCTACGGAACAATGTTCCTCCTCAGCACAAAATGTAAAGACGTGATCATCGAATGAAAATCCCGTTCCACTCACGTAGTTACACATTGCCTTTAATTTATTTATTTTTCTTCATACTGATTTGACGAAATTCTTAATTCTTTTTCCATATATAAGAAATTAAAAAATATCAAGTTAAAAGTGGATTAATAACATTTGAATATTTGAAGAACAAGAATTAGAGACCAATCAGCAGAATCAAGGTGACTCTATGATGAAAGAAGTTTAGTCACCAAATTCATTCACCAATATGGTGCATATGTGATAAGTCTCATAAATGAATATATTGGGAAAAAAAGAGAAAACTAAAAGCAAAGATAGAAATTGAAATCACATTAAAATATTCGCTGCCATTTCTAAGCATATTAGCAGGTACAACACCAATCAAACTTCCATTCTTTTCTTTGAAAATAACTTTTCTGCCCACTCTTGCAATTTTATCGTAACAATAAATTTCACAGTAATATGCGTCCATCCATTTCGTTTGTTTAACACGCTGACGACAATGTATAGGAAAAATGGTCTTTACATAAGCCGTATTTCCCGCAATATGATCGCGATCAATTCCAAAAGATGTCAAAATTTGGAAAACAATTGACAACTAAATTTTAACGCTCGTTTAAAACAAGAAATCTTTTTTCAATCAAGAAATCTAACAAGAAATAATTTTTTTGGTTTATTTTCCACATTCCTTTTTAGAGATTCTCGATAAATGAAAAAAAAAACAGCCCTCTGAATGAATTTCAGTTCACTTATAACCAAACTTTCAAGGATACCGATAATTCGAATAGACTGTAATTAAAAGATTTGTTACCAGGCGACTACAATTTAATTAATGTAAAAACAATTCTTTGCAAAGATTCATTTGTATTCTCCATATTTACATATTTAATAAAACCCTGTTACTACCCTGTTACGTGAATTCCTATCACTTTTCTTTAATGCTACATCCAATGGTTTCTTTTCTCTAATCCTTTTTACATGTTCCTGATAAAACACTGATAATTCAAAGATAAAGATAAAACATCTTTTACGGTCCATTTGAAGACCGTAAAAGATTTGGTGACCATGTTTAACTATTTTCAAAGTCCTGCCAAAGATTGAAGCAAAAGTTCCATTTTATTTTCACGTTAGTAACAATATTTCGTATTTTCATTATTTCCTTTTCCGAACATCCCTTAAAACACCACCTTCCTCCAAAATCTTTTCCTTGAAGCCTTTTAAATTTCTTTTTTCAATATTCTCCGTGTATTCTTAAATTTCCATCGAATTATGTTGTACTCTTTTTCCAGACAAAATAAACTCCCTTCACCTCATATTATCTCAATTTCGCTAGAAAATTTTACCTCATCTTCCAACGAATCGAACTCATATGAACCTTTGCCCATTAAGATTTCACGGAATGCCGAAAATAAATGATCAAAAACGCCACATTTAATAAATGAGCGTTTACACAAATTACCAAATCTAAAAAAACAATTTTTTACATTCTCTTTGTATTACATTCTGTTTCTGCTTTAACTGGAACTTCAATAAGTCAAACTGAAAATAATAAATAATAAATAAAAAATACCGATAATTTATTATGTGTTAATAATAATCGTAAAAAAAAGGACTAACCGCATAAGAGTTGCAGCAGCAATACATGCATTGATGCGAGAATCACAATTATTTACTTTCATATGATTTTTAATCAAACTAATAAAATAATCTGATGATGTAGCACTGACGAAATGGTTCAACAAAAATACACAACGCTTCCGCCGCCGTGAACAGTACAAACATTCAGACCTAGTAACAACAAAATAAGTACCATTCAACAAAACTGATTGATTATTAACTGCGCAAAACAAAAAAAAAAAACAAAAAACCAACGTATTTGACGATCGCTTTATAACGTCGATTAATCGAATATGAAATTGTAGCTTTAATAATTTTTCAAAAGCATCGTGTCTTTTTGCAGTATGCAATAAAGCATTATAGACGAATTCATCATTCCAGTGACAACACAATGAATAATTAATTAATTGATCTAATAGCTAAAATAGTTATAATAGAATAATTAAAATTATGGTATATTTCAGTTCATTATTTGTTTCTTTTTATTCGAACAGCACTAACCATCTCTGGTTTGGCTGATTCCACTAAAACTCCTTCGCAAAAGAGTCGCTTGTGGTTAGAAGTTCATTCTGCCTAGAATCTCTCGAATTTTACAGAATTTACTCTGACAACGACTGCTCAGTGCAATTTTTTCTTTTAAATCTATCAAATATTTCAGATCTTCCAATAACTTAGAAGACTTCTTTAAACGATTTAATATATTTCACAACAAATAAATTATTCAAAGATTTCGAATGAGATATAACATTCTTTAAAATTTCTTAAAATGAGATATATAAATTTTTAACGATAGTAGAAAAAAATAATATTGCGAAGATTTTAAAAAAAAACCTCATTGTTGAGATACTGTAGGCTAGAAGAATCGTACAGAAATGTAGCAAACAATGCCATCAAGTATGCGGTAATCTGAAAAAAAAAACGTAGAATCAATAAAATTTAAGATTAAAAATTCAATATAGCTAAATCTCAGAATTTCCCTCTTAAATATATGATTACGAGAGCGTAAACATTTCTCACTTAATCTAAAACTAATATAATTATTGAGGAAGTGGTGCAAGATCCAATTGCAATTGTTTTGCTCTATATATTCTTGTAATATTATTATTAAATGATTATCTTAATATTTTCTGGAAACGTCAAAGTTCCCAGAGAATCAATCCCTTTTGAAATGGTAGATCAATTTTTAAATTGAAAAAAAAAAATTATTTTCTTTTATAGACTTTCTATCTTGATAATTTCCACAGTAATTACCACAGATATGAAATTTTCTCATTGCTTGTCTATATAGGAGTAATATATCACTAAAATTATCATAAAGATGGCTGCTCAGGACGCATCTGTGCCGTTACCAAGTGAATCTATGGGTCAAGTAAATCACTCAAGTAAATGACGCATTCCGACTGATATGGTATTTATAGTATGGTAACATATACGATAAATATGCGAATCGGGCTCGGACAGTACTGGTAAAATGGTTATGTAAAAACCTTATAAGGAAACAGGATGAATGCCTGCTCTATAACCATTGGCCATAGCTGGGTGGAACATCAGAACAATTTTGAATTCAAGGAATCAGGAAATAACTATCCAAATATTCTATGGATATCGCTTACCTATCGAAATTCAATCTTCCTAACTCTGACTACAGAATTGCTGAATTACACCAGTGATGTTTCCTAGAGAGAAATGAAACCATGATTTTCATGCATGAAGGAGCACGATCATCTCTAATCGTATAGAATCTTGTGTTAATGAATATTCTCGCCCGCTTCAAGGACAAGTTTTGTAAAATTTCGATCGTCAGTTTAAGATCTACATCTGTACACAGATAAAGATAGGTACCGGGCTTAATTTGCCAAAAAACATCTTAGAAAAACTCAAGAAAGAATGGAATTAGAATGCATTCAAGAATATCTTCTGAGGTCAACTACGGCGCTGTGAGCCGATATGCCAAAAGAAAGGGCCTTCTCCGATGTGGTGAGGAATATGAACTTTTTGCCACCATTGTATATGCTTTCAATATTTTATCAACACTGGAATCGGATTGACTATATTTTGGTTAACTGCCGATAAAAAAATTCTAAATAACTACGTATAGCGAAGAATACTGGTTTTTTGAAGCGCCTAAACTTCAAGGGTCAGCTAAATCCGCTCTAAGACGAAATAGATAAAGACAAGCTGGGTTCAGAAACATCCAATTAGATTATAGCCTTGAACAAAGATTCAAAACCTGACAGCAAAAATTACGAATAGCACTGCGGACTCATTTTACTCTAACTAAAATTACTCTGGTGAAAATTTCTCATCGTATTAATAAAGAATGGAGCAAACCTATCCAAAAATGGTGCTAACCGTTTTACCGTTGAATTTATTCAAATATTCTAATATAACGAATAACGAATATTTCACTTAATCTAACAAATTTTTAATAAAATAAGAATAAATAAATAATATTTATGATCACAAACTTCTTTAGAGACGAGTTCCTTATATTGTTTCGGAAATTTTTTTGTTTTTAAAAGTTCTGAGATATTACATATTGTAAAAAGTCCCTTTTTTAAAGGTCTTGTTGAATCATAAAAATTATGCTTCGTATCATTTTCGACAATACAACGTATTACATTACACTCTCGCTGAAAAATTAAACCGTAAAAATCACAAAAATCCATGGATGAATAAAAAAATCCTTTTCTTTCATAATTATTAATTATAATTATTAAAATGTAAAATTGGAAATATTCATTAAATAAACTCAAAAAAAATTTAATCTTGTCGATCATTCATAGTTTTAACATTTATCTCAGATTAAAAAAAGAAAAATTTTGGAAATTTCCTTTCTAGAAAAAAATTTGTGAAATAAAGATTTCGAAAATTAAATAAAAAGAACCATTTTTGGCAAATGAACATTTTGTTCGTAAAAATCGCCTCCATTTTTTAGTAAAAATTTTAAAAAATTAGTAGAAGCGCATATAAATTGTAAACTTCGAAAATCATGCGAAAAAGGCCTAAAAATCTTTTAATTTATTTAGAAATACAAAATATTGCCCACTAATCTTTAAGTTTTTTAAAATTTTAACATGAAATTACATGAAAATTAGATGAAAATCTAGGATAAATAAATAAAAAAAAATTACGCCAAACTCGAAGCAATATAGAAACGCAAAAATTCAGAACTGGAATTCAATTTATCAATAAGCAACTTGAGAGCACCGCTTTCTCTTAGAATTTTTCGACTCCAAGCGTCCTATAAACAAAATAAATAAAAATTCATGCCTAATCATGCTAAATGATTTGAATATAAGAATAGAAGCAATGAATTCTATTGGTCTTTATTGTTTTTTATTAAAACAAGAATTTTAATGGAAGGCATTTTTAAAATAAAACTTACCTTTATTTATCAAATGTTTTATATAATATCGTATAATGTAAATACAATATAATATAATTTAAAATATAAAATAAAATATGCATAATTATAAAATATTATAAATTTATATAATAATAAAATATAAATTACTAAATCTTCATATTAATATTAATTGGTTTAAAAAATGTGGTTAAAAATTAAATGAAAAATATTAAAAATGTAATAATCATCATATTTTCATTTCATTAACGAAAAAAAAGATTTGTAAAATAAAAAATAAAAAGTAAGAGCCGAAAATAAGAAAAAACTAATAAAGGATAAGAATGATAAAAGTAATAAAAGCATACATGCGAATAACTACATAACACAATAATCATAGCATCCGATGGTCTAGCTTGAGCAACAGTTTTTTGAATAATTTCTCTATGTTGAAGAATTTCGCGAAATTCCAATGAATTATAACAAATTTCAGCAAATGTAGGAAAAAATGTTCGCATTCGATTACGCCTATCGAATACGCATGCTACTAAGACATCTCCACAGTCACTGAAAAACAAATATCAAATATATCTATGGCTTTTAAAGTTTGGTAATGGTATCTCTCAAATGATTTCTAGCTTTTCTATTATTTGCTAAACCCTGTGATGGTTGGCGCCAAAAGCGAGGAGGACCAATCAAGACCTGGACTGATACAGTCAGGAAAGACTTTGAACGTATAAGGGCACCATATACGGACTTAGACGATGGAAAAAGAGATGGCTTCTATTACTCCTAGCAATGGCGCCGGACCAAGCAGCTTGGAGACATCTTACCCTGTAGCAGTTGGAGCCAGCCTAACCAGTATTGATGAGAGCTGTTAGAAGAAGAAGCATTTCTGCCGCAATTGCTGATAAAAAACTTAATTTTTATAACTAAAAAAAATAAAATATGCGAAATTTTAGATGAGTGGAACCATATTTCATAATTTAAATATAATATGTAACAAATATATTTTAAAAAATATATTTTTTAGTTCTTTTAAATTTAAATTTTTGGATTACTATGGAAATTTCTTTTTAATTTGAAGGACAATTCGGCAAAATTTTTAAATAAGGTTCTAATTTTATCCTATAACTTTTTGTGAACCTTTACTTAACTTGAAAATCTTCCATAAAATTTCTTATAGCGTAAAAAAACTGCTCGAGATGGTTATTGAAGCTATACAGAACTAATAATCTGAAGGAAATTTGTGGCAAATACAATGGATAAAAAAACATCCCAACCAAAGTCAATATTTTCTTTAGATGATATAAAGAGATATGAGAACAGTGATATAATATAAAGCTTTTCCTGTTTTTCTTGGATTAATGTTTTCAATTTTTGGTACCTTTCCGTTCGATATAGTTAAATCATTTTTGAACATCCATCATAATAATTTTGCTACATTAACTTCTTCTATAATCCATTAATTATTTTTTTGACTAAACAGTTTTGGAACATACATTTCTCTTCAAATTTCATGAATCTCACTGCTCATAATAATCCCATTGTGATAATCTTCAATATTTTAAGAACCCCTCCAAATTCCATGCAAAAGGAAATCTGCCTACTAAATTCTATAGAAAAAGAAGCTTTTTTTGGCAATGCATTTCTTTCAACAATTTTTACCTCCTTAAATAAATCTAAACATGAACTACTAAAAATGCGAAAAGATTTTACGTATAACTTCAGTATTTAGTTTGCTCGATAATTTTTTTCATCAAATTCAACATTTTTTTAATATTAAAAATAAGAATGAAAAGAATATACGCAGAGGAAAGCTGATTTCCCACGTTGAACATCGAAATTTTACTAAAATTTCTGATAATTTCCATCACTGGTAATGGAAGTGACGAATGAGACGCGTAATCACGTTTAATAATCAATCCTATATAATGGCAAACATTATTGCGCAATAAAGCCTGAAATTATGCATCACTGCGATAAGAAAATCTTTAAACAGTTCAACCTGTTATTTAATTTTAGCATTTTCCACGCGAAATAAAATACAAAAGAATTGTTCTCAAATATCCAGTAATATTTTCTTCTCACAAATATGAGGCAGGACAGCCGAGTGCATAGTGATTATCGTACTGAAAGTAAGGTCTCGACTTCTCTAATTAACACCTGGCTCTCTATTTCTTAATGCACTAACAATTAATGGACCTATCCTAATTAGAAAGGGTGAGCACTAATTTTACTTTTTACAATTTCTATCTTTTTCTAGCAAATATACCAATTTCGAATAGGGTGCTGTTAAATTTTATGATTTTAAAATTTTAATTCTCGTAACGAAATCAATCTGTATCAAACAGCTCTTCGAACAAAGTCATTTGACAGAACCCATCAAGCATGTTTTTGTATGTCCCTTTTGTCTAAGTGAGTTTTGCGTGTTGTACCGCTGGACTTTCTCTATTACTCTTTTTCTGTTTAGAAAGTATCAAAGCACATTGGCGCAATATGGTTTGGATATTCCCGTATAATCTGGTTTATCTCAGAACCATAAAGTCTGATTTGTTCCGATAATTCAGGAAAACCTGGTTTATTCCCATATAACCCGTGTATCTTATTATATTAGAGTGAAGTATAAATCTTGACCTTGTGAAACCTATAAGCTATTAAATGACCTACTTATTTGTGTGATTTTCCTTACCACTGAAGTGATTTTTTAATTTGGATCTCCATAATTTACGAATAAAATTTCTGAATTATTATGGTTTATAAATTCGAGAAGTAAACAAATTAAATGAGTAGAAAGTCATGAAAAATTTTTCATACTATTTCGAGGAGGAGGTAGAGGGGAGAGGGGGGAGGGGAAGGATGAGTGGGGAGAGGGAAGCAATAAAGGTGACCTTAAAGAACATTTTAAAAAAACGATAGTTCAAGGCAAAGTATTTCAAATGATTTCCTAATTTTTCTTTTATTTTAGAATGGATGTGAATGAACAACAACAACAAGATGTTGCAATGAAAACTGGTCATGCTCCAGCTGAAAAAATAGCTGGTGGTGTACGAATTGTTAAAAAAAGTAGACATGATTCAGATAGTAAAAACACGAATAATGAGGAAAAGACTAATGCAAATATTCAGTCTGATTCCACAGATATTGCTGAATATAAAGAATCAACTAATATTTTAGCTAATACAGGCTTAGCAGCTCAAGTTTGTTTAATTTTATCTTATTATCATCATATCCTTATTCCGATTCAATATTTCCTTTTAACTACAAAGATGATATTTTGTTCAAGTATAAATATCTAAGTATAAAGTACCACAGAGTTAGGATAATTGAATTGTATGTTGCTTTGACTAAACGTCTGGTATTTGGTTCTCAACATTTGACGTCTCATTTAGCAATAATTCCTCTGTCTAATTCCATTGTAAGTGGCTTTCCTCTAGAAAAGCTTCGCTCTTACAATGGAACGAATTAGATGGTGGATTGAGCGAAACAGCAGTCTGACATGTTGTTATCAGCAAAAAACCGAAAACTGTCAGACCATAGAGCCAAAAGCTACTATGAATTCTTTAATCCTCTTTAATAGTAGGAAGATTTGTCAGTTAAACTGAAATGTAGATTACATATCCATCTTTACATCGCCCTTCTCCTTTCATAAATTAGCCCTCCTTCAGTTATGTATATTTGTATGTATTTCTATTTCCCTTTCCTCCTTCATTGTTACTGTCTTTTTTGTTATAATGTGTTTTTTTAATTGGTTAATTTAATTCTAAATTTTTAAAGATTTTTTTCTCTTTTATCTTCCCTAAATAAATAAATTTTCTTATCAATAAATTTACAGACCAACAAAGATTATCCACCTGAGGCAATACGAGCATACCACGAGAAACCCATACCACAACATCAGAAACTTCCGCCTAGATCAGTAAATCATATTCTATTTCAACCAACTAAACAATAAACGAAATGGCAAAAAATTCCTCGATTAATTTTCGTCATAAATTTTTGAAAAAAAAAAAGAAATATCCTATTATTAAGAGAAATTCATTTTTATTCTATTGGTTTAAATATATTTTAATTTGCAAAAAGTTTGTTACTGATTAATGAACATAAAAAAAATTTATCTTTTCTTTCTGTATATACTTTATAACTTATAATGGGTTGATATGATTTGGGTTATTTGTTTTGCTTTGGAGTTTTTTACTGTTTTGCAGTTCTATGGTGTAGTTTTTTTTTTTTTAAATAATTGCTAGACTTGTTGTTCGGAGCTCATCTGAACATATATTAAGCATTACGGTCTTGAATTGAGAAAAATGGTTAAAACTAATGTATGATAATACAAAATATAATTTCGAACAATTTCAAAACTTCATAGAAATTTAAGATTTTTAGTTCTTAAACGCAGGATTTTACTTTTATTCTTTCTATTAATTCCAGTTTTCTACCAATTATCATTCCTTTTATTAATTTGTATAAAATATTTTTGTTAATTTTTATCTTTGCTGATTTTCCTCTTTATGTTTTTCTCTCCTTTTCTAAAGGATAAACTTCAAAGAAAAATAAACGTTAAGTTAAAGTAACATAAAGTAAAAATAAAACACACCTTGCCAGCCAAAAAAGATTTTGCTACCATAGAATTGACAAGCTTCAAAGCAGCACGATATAGAAATTTATTTTCGTCTTCAAGTTGCTCGATAATTCGCTTAGACATTCCTGGTGCCATGGCGATTGCATAAGCACCATTTTTTTCATTCGCAATGAATTTCAGTAGCTGGATAAGATACCACCTATCTTGTACAGTACTTGAATAACGATTGTCGAAAAGTTTACCTAAAAATAGTAGAAAAGTGGTTCGCAATTATTTAATTTTCTTTTTGGCTTCTTTTCTTTTTTAATTTTGTTGCTATTACTGGATCTAGTAACATACTCGATATAGTCGAGTATGTTTTCAATACAAGAATGGAATGGCTCAGTGGCTGAAGTTGGGTATTGAGCCAGTGCTGAGGTTCGATTTTCCGCAGGAGTAAACCTGTTCAAAAATCTGGGTGATGCTGGCGACATTTCTATCGCCAAGGGAATCCCTGGCATATTTATCCAGTGCGACAAGCCAGGAATGGGTCTAACAAATAATGATGAGGGCTCTGAAAAAAAAGAAAATTGTATAGAGTTTATTGAAATTTCAATGAATTTCTTAATATTTTGTCGAAAATCTTCGGATGTTTGCCAAGTACAGCCAAAGTAATAATTAAATTTATTTTTCGATCATTCATACGTTATTTTTTCCATTCTTTTCTTATGACTATCCATAATGACCAAGTAAAGAAGAAACTGCTGAACTGAGCTGAACTTCAACAACCAGAAATACTTTTTCAAAACTCTCGAAATCTTTATAGATTTATAAAAGTATTTATAGAAATCGTAAATGCTTAACAACGGACACTTTTACCTGTCACATAAACAATCTTTGAAAGTGGAAGAATAATTATAGGGAAAGCCTGTCTACCTATAAACGCCTAAAGTGAATACTCATCAAGAGAATAAAATATTGTATTATTATTGTTACGGTCACATTTCGTTCTTCCTACTATATAAATCTTGTGGTGGAAGGCATCGAAATCAGTGGAGTCCATTTAAAATTGGAATGGTACGGTCAGGCCCAACTGTAAATTAGTGTTTAAACAAAGAGGATTGGAAACTTACGATTAGGGTAGGGTGCGCTTGATTTTATGGTTTAGATCACGTTTAACAGATGACATTGTGGTTATAAATAAAAGAAATCAGAAATCTAAAAGTGGGAAAAAACATACAAATTTGCCGAAAATTGTAATATTCTGATTTGCTTCTGAACTAAAAAATGAAAAATTTTTTGATAAATTAAATAAAACATGAATAAAAAGTGGATAAATTTAGGCCTTAAAATTTAGACCCCTTTATCTACCCCATTATTTACTGTATAATTTTTACCTAATCAAAGTTTGAGAAAAATCACATTGAGATCCAATTTTATTTTTAATTTATTTTAAAAATATATAAATTAACAATAATATAAATCCGATTTATTATTATTCTTTTATTCTTTTTAATTCTTTTATTCTTTATTATATTCTTTTCTTTATTCTTTTAATATTTCGATAATCAACTTTAAAAATTATTATTCATGAAATATAAAATCTGATTTGATAAAATTTGATAATTTCTTCAGATTTTTCGCTCAAAACTCAGTTTTAAACAAAATGAATGTAAAATAAAATTTGAAAAAATTTCGTTTGAAATTCTTCTAAATAATTTTGTGAAAAAAAAAATTTGTGACAAACCTTAGCACAAAATTCTTTCGACTGCGAACAACATCGAACCAAAAGTTGACTAATAATCATCATAAGTTTCCACCAATTATCACTTTAAAAAAATAAAATAAAATAGCACTTTCTTCGTATAAAATAAAATGTTGAGCATTCATTTCAATCTAACTTAGTATAAATATAAATATGAATTTTATCTATTGAAAAATTTTTCGTAAGCTTATAATAGAAATGAGTGATAAAAATAAAAAATTAATTTGAAAATATTATAAAATACAAACTCATTTAATTTCATTGCACCACAATTAATAAAAGCCTTCAAAAGCATATCGAATATTTTTGGCGGAATCGTTGCATTATTAATGCCTTTTCTATCGGGAATATGCTTAAATATAATTATTAATTATTAATTGCTTAAATTCCTTATCATAAACCATAATATTAATATTAATTATAATTAATTATAAATATAAATGTAGTAACTTGTAAAGTATTTCTTTAATAAAAGCATATATATGCAACGATTTACTGCTATGTGCGAATGTGAGTTTATATATGTCTGGAGAAAAATCTTTACCTTTCAAAATCTGCTAAATTTTATGAAATTTCAATCAGTTAAATATATTAAATATTTTTAATATATTTCATATCAGTTGATATCAGTTAAATATTTTTAATGCCTAAGTTGTTGATTTCCTTTGTAAGCTTAATTTTCCACTTTATTCTAAGCCAATAATAATATCCTCCATAAACCCGGATAATCATTTTTCAGACTCCGCCACACTTCCCTAACCACTTCCACGAAATTATTATATCACTTAGCACCTTTCAAAATCCAGTTATATTCCCTTAAATTCTCTTCGAACCTCGTTATACTCTTTCGCTATGCCCATTAATAACATCATCCATTCGAATCCATTATAAAATCTTAACATCGTTAAGCAGCACAGCTCTCCATCGCCCATTTCCTCATAACCTGTTACAATCTTTATATAACTTTTTTCATAAAATATGCATGCCTTTCCTTAGTTGAGACCTGGTAGTAATACTTGATTATAAGATCTGATAGTTTTTTTGAGATGTTTAAAGGTAGACAGAAAATAATACCTCGTTAAGACCATGTACTATCAAACTGATAATGGCACTTTTCGCTTACCCATTATGGCATTTTGTTACAAATAACTAGTTTTTAAAAGAAAAACCCACTATGAGGTCTTCCGAAACACAATCTTTTGATAATCCCTACAGCTCATCGTGTTTTGTGATCCTCAGACCGTGTTAAATAGCCCTAATGTAAAGACCCCTTAAACTCCTTCTCGCCATTATATTTATATAAGCGCTTATTTATATTTATATTTATAAAACAAAGAAAAATCGAAGAAACATAAGAAAAAACTATTTACTAACCTTTTCGGCATCGCTGATTGCAGCAGAAATACTTTCAAACGATTTAAAATCAATTCCTGGAAAATCATTCTTTTCCTCTTCATTATCACAAGAAATTTGTGTATAATTCCTTTTCATAAGGCTGAAAAATGAAAAATTAGTTACCAATATTCATATCAATTTTATATATCAATTATTAACAAAGATGCAGACAATTTTAAACAATTTCGAACAATTATTTAAACTAAATTAAGAGGAATCTCTTATTTCCTTATTTCCTTATTTCAGCTTGAAGACCAACAAATCCGTGGTTAAAAATAGAGACCGCTAGAGACTCACAATTTTATCACCACAGCGAAAAAGTCACCTAAACGTCTCACTCGAGCAGTCACTGCAGTAGAACTCACATTAATGATAGTAAACGCGGCTAAAATAAGGATTAACCTCGAGCAAAATAACCTCATTAGGTACCATTAGCGACTGAATTTTTAAGGTAAACCATTCGCCGAAAATTTCACGTAAAACCATACATTAACCCATTTGTAACATTCGCTATTTTTTATTTTTCAGAGATCATTTTCACGTGACGTGACCAAACGACCTTTAAAAGTTCCACTAAGTCTACACGTAGATTAATTCCGCAACCTACAACTATCCACTTCTCACTTATGTCACTTTATCTAAAACCAATAAACGAATCTGCGATTGTTGCCATGAAATCTGGCCGCGAAATTCTTAAATGCATAAAAACTGATCGTTCGAATTTTTAAAAATTTCAGCTTCCGCGGGAAAAATCCTTTATTCAAATTTTTTGCAGTTTAATTATTTTGGATTTTAAATATTAGTTGGGTTAATTTCCTAATTTATGAATATTTTAAGTGTATTTTCAATTCTTTCTTTATTAATGGTACTTGGGGAGCCCCTGGTTTTTTCATCTCTGTAGTTTGACATTGGGGAGAGGGTGGGGTCATTTCGCATAAGCCATGCGTTAAATATTTCTATCTCCATGCTGACTCTGACGAAGGGCATTCACTCGAGCTGTAAGTTGAATCAGCGAAATTAAAGTAGGTTGAAGAGCTTTTCCTAAGTACCACTCAAAGAGGAATGTAAGAAATTTTTATTGTAGCAAAATATTTCTTAAATAAAATACATTGCTAAATAAATAATTTAATTTAATTTATTATTAATATTATTCGTTTTTTATATTTTAGATAGTTAGAAAATTTTTTTTTTTTGGTTAAAATGGATCCAAATTTATGTCAGTTTGTCGCTGAAAATGAACTCATACAAGTGATTCTTTTTATTTTAATAATTCTTTTTGTTTTTTATTTTTTCAATCAGTTTTATTAATTTTAATGTTTTTATTTTATTATTTGTTAGTTTTATAAAATTTCAGTTTTTTTTTTTTTTTTTTGCAGATTATACCGAACTTCAATTATGAAAAATTATACCTTATTTGTGGCGATGTTGGTCCATTCGAAGCGGGCATTCCATTAGAAGTACCGCTTTGGATGGCTATTAGGTTAAAAAAGCAACATAAATGTCGAATTTTGGTAAGTTATTGTGCTTAAAAATATTTCAATTAATATCTTTAATAAATATTGTTAAATTAATAAGAATCTTTCTAAAGATAACAATGTTATTGTTTTTATATTGTTATATCTCATTAAATTTTCAAAAAATTCGAAATTTTTTACATTATTTTATATTTATATAAATGATTTTTGAAAGTACTGCTCGAGGAGATTTCTTGCTGATTATCATCAATAAATTCTTTACTTAAGGCACCTGAGTGGTTTAATGTTGAATCGTTACGGAAATTTATTGATGCTGAAACAAGAGAAAAAGGTGGCCTTACTCCTGTTCCAAGATATTTCCGCGAATTTTCCAATTTATTGTTACTGGATGCGAAGGACGACATTATCGATGCGGATCAGGTGGCTTTCGCTCCTATTTTTGGTTGAAATATTATAAAACATTCAATTTCGAAATTAAGTCGAAATGTTTGAGCATACTTTATCTTCTAAAAATATTTTATTTTCTAAATAATCTAATATCATAGATCATAAAACTTTGGATGTTCTGCGTTCATCGCAAGAATTGACGCATATTTCACTGCATATTTCCAAGCCCTTTGATGGAAATTTTTAAGAGCGAGTAGACTTAATCAAGAATTAAATTGATACGATCAAAAGTGTTTTCGGATTTTTAAATAGGAATAACTGGCTGCATATGGGCTAAGATTATGAAAAAAAGGATTTTTATGATATAACTGTGACTTGGAAAGGCTTAGAAATAGTTCACCACTATAGATAGTGCAAATAGCAGTGGTGCGTAAGAAGTTCATTTTCGAAATCAATCATGTTATATTTTATTTTAATGTTAATATTTCTAGATAAAAATACATATACAGGATCTCTGGGATATACGCTCTTCAAAAATGCACAATTCTTCGATTAAATTTCTTTCTCAGGTGAATGGTTCAGAAAATTTTAATAAATTTACTTTGCCTTGATAGTGTAGAGAAAAATTTAACCAAATTTCCAAAATCATTCTGAAAAATTCCTGTTACATTTTATGATAACTCTTTCTAATCCCCATTAATTCTTTCTTTTTATTTTCCGTCTGGTTGCTGTAATTCTTTGCAACATTGCTGGCATCCGAATCATCTTTCATCTTTGTTCCATTTACGCTTCATTAAACATTACGCTTCATTATTTTAATTACGACTATAAATATATCCTAAAATATAAAATTGCAAAAGATGACGGGGTGCATGGAAGAGATATAAAAATGATGATTTGAAAACGTTGAGAATAAAATGAGAATTTGTGAGTCTGAAAAAATTGCGTCAGGCATGTTGGGAGAATAAAGCTAATTTTTAAAAAAGACGTCAAGAGACGTTTTTTCTAGTTTTCGTATATCTAATTCCTCCACTATAATTTCAGTATAGATTTTTGATTTGAAGGCGTTTCAGAGTATAAGCATAAAAGTATGAGATTTCGTGATAATCAAAATTTCAATAAAAAGTTTATCATGTCGATTTTATTGCAGCATGGATCATGTCATGCGAGAATGGACAATATAACACCACTTGAAGCATGTTCTACAAGACCAGCAATAACAGAAGCGACGAAGCAGATTCACGATTTATTTGAAACAACTTTAAAAATTTGATTCTTTTACAGTTTTTTTTTAGTTGTTATTTCTTTGATAATAATTTATTTAGTTTGAAGAAATTTAATATTAAAATCCTCCGGTTAAGGCGAATGGTCCATATTAAGGATGATCGGTTAAGGGAATGGTCCAACTCCGAAGTGACTCTTAGCGAATTTTACGCGATGGGCAATCATTATACTTATCTAACTTTTAAGAAATTTCCATCATCCTTAGGATAGAATCTACTGAAGCGTAAAACCATTCTGTAAAAATTATAAAAGTTGAAGAAAGGACAATTTTAAACTTTTTTGTTGTATTTTTTATAATAACATTGAATTTTAATGTAACTGAATAGATTTTATTAAATATTTTGGAATTTCTAAACACTTTTTGCTAATTAGTATATAGAATTGGAGCGTTGATCCTGATCTTACTCTCCGCGAGAATAAACCTGTTCAAAAACCCGGATGATGCTGGTGGTTCACTTATATTCCTATCGGTAATCACTGGCATATTTGCTAGCGGAGTCTAACCAGTAATGATGAGAGTTCTTATTCGTTGTTAAAGCTTATGAATTATTATTAGATTAAGCAATCTTTATTGGCGTTGTTGTTATCATCATGAAACATTTCTGATTCGTTTCCAATTCCTGGATGCCATATATATTTGATAAAATAAATTTGTACTTTTTAAATTTTTTCATAATTTTCCAAAATTTTCAAAAAAAATGGTTGATAGCCTACCGAACAGTTTCTTTGCAGATTTATGATTCTGATTTACGAGTGTAAAATATTATAATGAATTTTATTCGAGTGAAATCGATTATCATTATCGTTATCATTATGATAATATAATGCGAAGAAATGGGAATTTTTCATCTTATAAGAACAATTTTTTTTTTTGATTAAGTGCTTTATTGTAATAAAATTTTATTCGCACATTTACGTAATGATCATTGACATTAAATTCTGGCAATTGATATTTTTACAATTCTTCTCAACTTTGACCTTTTCTATATTCGCTATTATAAAAAGCCAGTAGATGATTGATTCATTCAATTTCTTTTTTTTTCAGCCAATTGGAACGATTTTCCCAATATGTGTAAATATTTCATCGCTAGATTTTGTGCTATTGCAAGATCCATCGTAAATGTCCATTAAATAGGAATCGTACAGTTTATAAGTAAAGTGTTTTTTTTTCGATTTTTTCACATTTAAAGAATTTATACTTTAGATATAAAGCAATTGTATAATTTCTTTTCATTATCGTTGATTTTCTTTATGCGATAATTTTTTATTAGATGAGCGAAAAAATATTATAATTTGGTTATTAGATTTTCAAAAATGGAAAGAGAAAATCTTGACGATGAAACTAATAATATTAACTCTGATACGAATTCTGATCCGCAAAAAGATTCTATCGAAGAATATTATGTTACTCGAAGCATAAATTCAGATTCAATTGCAAGCTCGCATCGATTATGGTATATTTTTTATTTAGAGAATATATATAAAATTTTGATATTTTAAGATAAAAGATGAAGGATTTTCGAGAATATTTGGGTCCTATGGATTCATAGTTTGACATTTTATCGAATACTTTATAAAATAAATTATCCGATTTTTACAGAAAAAAAATTTTTTTCTTCAACTTAAATTTTTTTCGCATAGTTTTTAATGATTTTCTTGCACTCGGTTTTGCTAGATTTTCGACAAAAAAGAAAAAAATCGTCAACTCTAATTATGCGAGTTTTCGATGCTATATTTTTAATTAATTTGCTTACCTCTTGAGCGTCGATAAGCAGTATCCACCCCATATGTTCTGCATGGCTTTAAATTATTAAGCAACCTTGACATATTCAAATCCTTTATTCTTCTGGAAGAAGGAAAAAGTAATTCGCGATGTGATTTAATTTTTTTTCGAAAGATCTTTTAATTCCATTTTTTATTTGAAGCCAGCATTTTTTTTTTTTTTTTTGCTTTTTCTGCCAGGTAGTTTGTATCGAATTATATTTGCTAATAATAAATTTTAATCAGAAATTTTATTTAGTTCATCGGAAAGCAATCTATCTCAGCTGCGAGCATTTTACCCATACGAAGGTTCTTTTTTATAAAATTTATAAAATCTTTTACTTAATTTATAAATTTTATTTTTATGATTTTTTCATCTGTTTACCTGCATTTTTTTTCAATTATTCCACATGAATTTTTCTAATATTTTTTAAATTTTCGTCAAATTTCATTTCATTTTTTAAAGTCCATATAAATTTTAGATCTAAAAAAAAATAAATTTTAGGTTCATTAGTCGATATTACTGCAATGAAAAGAGAAAATAAAAAATTAAAAGCAGATTTATTTGAACTAAAAGCAAAATATTATTTACTTAAGCAAGAAATGCCTTTTATTTGTAATGCAAATGGCGCAGATATCAGTGAAAATGTAAGTAAACTATCGAATTTCTGACTCTTAACTCCGTCATAATTATCATTTTTTAATTATTTTTATTATTTTAGTACGCCAAATTTCACGCTGAATTCTCGAAAGAAAAGGAAAAACGATTGAATTTAGAAGCCGAACTGAACGAATTATCAAAAAAATTTATTTCATTAACTACTGCGCAAAAGAAAGAAAAATTAGAATGGAATGAAGAAAAAATGGCGATTTTAGAGGAAAGAAATGAACTTCGTCAGCAAGTCAAAAATGTGAGATTTAGGGCATATAAAAAAGACCTGTAGACCTGTAGATTTTTCTTCAGTATTTCTTTAAAATACTCTTATTTTCTATTTCTTGAATCCTAATGCGTGTCGCAGTGTCTGAGCCAAAGAAAAGGAGCAAAGGAAAAAGGATGTAAGACTTTATTCGTTCGATGGGCATATAAAATTTTGGTTTAAGATGGATAGTTTAATTTCACTTTCAACTATATAATGGAATTGTGCACAATTGGGTAGATATGGGCTTTCATTTTAATGGTGATTTGGTGGCAATTCACAAAACTACCGTGAAACGAAAATAAGCATATCTAGCTATTGTCTGCTGGAATTTCGCTTGGCTATTTGATGTATAAAAGTGTCAATCGGTGATTAATGCAAATAATCTTATCAGCTATCCGGAATATGAAGCGAAAAAACTTTCTTTATCAACTTTTTTCTTATCCAATTTTCATTGCAGTTATCGATGCACAATGTAGCATCTTTTGTAATTCTCAATAAAAGGTCTATCTACTTCATGAGTATATTCAAGATCTGTGCTCAGGATTCATCTGGACACATCTTAAGCGCTGTTACGTAGTATTGGTAATGTCCAATCTATCGCATAGTTGAATAGGGAAAAGAAGGCATTCTTTATGGACATTATTTTCCAAAGGATTTTAATCTTGTAAAACACCGATATAATCTTGTAAAATGCTTCTTTATGTTAAATGATCCCCATAACACCATCGCATTCCATCATTCTCCAGAGCAGAGCACCACTATATCAATCGAATCAATGAAACAAGTGACGGTTATTGGTGGATATTCTAAATAATGACTCTTAGCTTAGTTTATTTTGTGCCTGCGCCTTAATTGAAATCCAGTTAAGTCGCTTCTCACTATCTTCTCATACTACTATCTTTATTTATCGAAAGGAAGGCGAAAATTCTCTCAGAGATGTTTAGTAGGCGAATTCCTCAATACATCCGCGCGAATAAATATGTAAATTAAGGCAATTAAGTTAAAAAATGTATAAATCAATTTCAATTTTTACTTCGTCTTTTTAATTCGTAATCTTCACTTTTTTCAAAATCTGAAAAATTTCTTGGTTTGCATAATATTTTCTCATATGTAAGGAAAAATTTATTTAGCTAAATCAAGAGTTATATTCGAAAGCGCTTAATGCATTGCATTATTCAATGGATTCGGAAAAATTAAAAGAGTCGAGTATCGTTGATTTTAGTGAAGATTGCGTGAAAAGTAGCTTGAGCGATATTTCAATAATATCAGAAGATCACAGGTTTGTACGTTTTTAGCACAATTTTTCTTAATATTTCCTACTTTTTTAATAGTTTGAAAATGATTTATTGATGCTTATTTCAGGCAACTTACTGAAAATTATTCATCTTTGTTACGAAAATTATTTGATACAGAAAAAGAAAATTCAAAATTTCAAGAACAAATTAATTTTTTAAACAATAAATTAAACGTTCAGTCAATGGAATTATCAGCAAAAACGAAAGAATTACAAAATGAAATCAAGAAAAATGAAATTTTAAATGACGAATTGCTTACCTTTAAAGCGAATCTCGAGGAAAAATTCATTAGAAATGAGGTTAATTTTTTTTTATATTTTTATATTTTTTTTTTAATATTTTTCTGTTTCTAGGATTTTCCTTTAGAAAAATTTGTTTATAGCCGAATGAGGAAAGAGTGGAGAGTAAGGAATCTATCGATGAAGAACGTTTACAAAAAAGTGAAAAAGCAGTTAATGCTTTGTCAGAAACACTTGGAATTAAACGCAAAGCAGTTCGTTTTTTTTAATATTTTTAATATCTATTTTTCTACATTTTTAAAATACCAGTTTTTAAATTTGACAGTGGTAAAAACTTAATATTGAACCAATTAGATTTGTATTATATAGGGAGAGAGGAAAATGCTCAATTGGAATATTTGTTGAATAGTCGTTAGATTTATTTCCATTTCTTTTCCTGAAGGAAGTAAACTTTCCATTAAAAAAAAGTGAAATTCGAGTAACAGTGTGGATCTAAAATCCTTTCACCAAGCAATTTTTTGAAAAGTTTTATCCGATCTTTAGCCAGTAGAGCAATCCAGTGCCATTAGATGCGTTTAATCTCTTTATATTTTATAAAGCTCTTTTTAAAGCCTATAATGAAACTGAAATTGGATAGCATTTGTGATAAAGAAGTGGACGAAAAGCTGAAAGTTTTTGACTTATGCGATTGTGCGGATT